TGACAGCATCATGTTCCTTAGTTTGTTGGCGGCCTGTGCCCATTCTGGTCGTGCAGATGATGCGTTGCAGTATTTCGATGTGTTGACCAGGAGATATGGAGTGGAAGCTTGTGGAGATCATTATTCGTGTATGGCAGACGTCTTGGGCCGGGCAGGACGGCTGCATCAAGCTTATGAACTTATACGAACAATGCCAGTAAAGGTTACAGCAAAAGCCTGGGGAGCTCTTCTTGCTGCATGCAGAAAACATGGGGAGGTGCAGTTGGCAGAGGTTGCCGGGAGAGCATTGTTTGAGATCGAACCAGAGAATGCAGGAAATTTTGTTTCGCTCGCAAACATCTATTCAGGCCGTGGCATGCATGAGGATGCAGAGCGGGTGAGAAGGGAGATGGAGCAGCGAGGCGTGCAGAGACTGCCTGGTAGCAGTTGGATGATACATCACAAGTCAAGTTGTTAATGCAATGTCCAATAATTTTTTCGGCTGGAATGGTTGTTCATACTAGCCAAACTATGGTTTTAGCTGTTTTGCTATAAAAGTATAAAAGGTCACTGACTGTTTAGTTTTAAGCAGTGATCTTTTATGAAAAATTAGGCATGCAATTGAGAAGTGTCAGCATTGGTTCACAGAAAATTTTGCTTAGATGCAATGGCCATTTCTCCATGGAAAGGTAAACGGGAAAAACATTCTTTTCTGTTTTAGCATTTAGGAAAAATGAACATCTAACTTGACTAGGGTAATAAGTAATAACTGTATATCAGAAAGGTGCCATATGCAGCATATGGCATGACTGCAAAACTAGCTGACTTTAAATGCAGCTGAGACATTTATGTGGTGATATGGTTAACCTTAGTATGTGAATCCTGCAGAATCATGAAGTTCTCTTCTGGCGGTGGAGTGAATCAGGTGTACATGTACCATCCTCCGTGACTTTTCTGAGGCCCTGGATCAATCTAAATTCCTTGGCTCTTGTTTCAAGACATTAGTGCTCTCTCCATTTTTTATGTCAAAAGATTCGTAGGTTTGTTACTAATTGTTGACAACAACCATGCTAAACAGTTAAAGCATACATGGAACTAAGTTGAGACTGATACTCAGTGTCAACTCCCAAAGTTTATTTTTCTCAAACACACAGGAGAGCTGCATATCATTATATTAAGAAGAAAGGAGGGGGCAAAAGCCCAAATACAAACACCCCACACACCCTAAGAAGAGAAAACTAGAAAAGATCTCACCCTTAGGAAAAACGAAAGCGACCTCAACTTGGACATGGGAGCCACCTTATTGAAAGCAGTTAACTTTGTACCATCTTACATACATTTCCTATGTCATTTTTCAATCTGATATGGCATGAAATATTCTTGAAATGCAAGTGTGAGTATTATCTTCATCAGCCAAAAGACTCTGTTCTGTGATAGTAATCAGTCTATTTCCTTTCTGGCAACATCATTTCCCATCAGCACACATGGTAAGTTGGTAAGTCATTTCAAAGAACAGTAGAGGCTATAGCGCTGTTGGCAGTGCACTTAGCTTTAAATCTGTATATGACTATAACTATATGTGTTGGTTTCCACGACCCACATTACAATCAGTCAACGTTAATTTTACTGACTCAATTTGGCCAACTGCTGGAAAATCCATGAATGTTTCTACAAGCATCCTTTTCTACATGATGATCAGTTGACATATGCTTAGCTACCCTATTTAGTCGACATATCCTTTGCTGCCCTATTCAGTCGACAGATAGAAAGGCACTGAGATTAATATTTAGGCTTGCCCACTGAATTTGTTGGTTCCTTCTGCTGGCTAAAATATATTTTATTAGGTCAGTTTCAATGGACTGAGGAGCTACCTTTAGCTTTGTAATGGAATTTCTTCTACCTTTAGCTGTCAGTGCATAGCGATATGATGCTAACTTTCACACATCTTTACCAAAAGCATGGTCAGTTACAAAAATGACAAAAATATATGGCTAGTCAAGTTGGCGCATTAAGCAAGATCCTTAATATCTTTCCTGTTATCTTTCATCCATGTTATCTAGTGTTTGAAATAAATTATTGAAGAGTGCGCTCTCACATAACTCTTCCATTAGTCATGTTGGTATGTGTGTGAGCTGTGAAAATAGCAAGATATTTTTTATATGCATATTGTATGCTTTTGGAAAAGGATGCGGCTATTCTTTTTAATCACCATCCTACGCCCTGGGATCAATACCAAGCACCTGAACCCGTAAGTAGTTGGGTGTTGATTCAAGGTCAGTGACTATTTCCTAAGCACTTGAATGAAAGCAAAAAAAAAATGTTTGCAAAAAGAGGTTCTTATACTTTTTAGCATCTCTAGACTATGCTAATACTTTATATAAATCTGAAATGTTCATCTGCAGCACATTATAGTATAAAATTGTTTTACCATTTGTATATCTGCTCATATTTTTATTCATGTTTGGGACAATCAATTTGTTGCATTCACTGTCCTATGTGTTAGCTTGAAAGTTTGAAAGTCTTTATTATTTGTACAAGCCTGAAGGGCGGGCCTGGTGCAAGCGGTAGAGTCTTACCGCCTGTGACCGGAAGGTCCCGGGTTCGAGTCACGGTCTCCTCGCATTGCACAAGCGAGGGTAAGGCTTGCCACTGACACCCTTTCCCAGACCCCGCACAGAGCGGGAGCTCTCTGCACTGGGTACGCCCTTTAAGCCTATATCAAACTATTATTTGATGATTAAAGATTTCAACTTCAGTACTCATTGAGAAAAAAATACTGGTGCGAACTCTTTGGGTAGCTTAAGTTAAGAAAAAAAAAACTGGGTAGTAACATCAGTATTATGATTCTTATGAAAAAATGCAATTAAGTAGCATGGCTGGTGACACACTAATTGGGATGGTACATTAATTTGTCCTGTACTGTATGTGAGAAGCTAATAGGTGTATTCCAGTGACTATTGCCCTTAGCCTTGATTTGTATCGAGTGATAGGAATCATATGGATTCTGTAGTTACCTGCAAGGACACTTACCTAACATCCTATGAGGTCCCTCTCAATAGCTCTGCTGTAGCATTGTAGGTGGGCCAGTGTGGATCACTATTGTTTGTGGTGCTAGGCCCCATTTCAAGCAGCTTATTGGCTGATGTGTAAGTGATTCTATGAACCTAATTTCTCTAACAGTTCTTGTTTACCTTATGCACTAGGAAACCTGAGATTGTTACTATTTGTCTTGTCCACATGAATTTCTTGTATTTATCTTTATAAATTGGATCGAAATCTCTCATCGTACACGTGCTGATAATGCTATGGACCGCTTTTTTTTTTTTTTTTTTTTGCTTTGCTTGTTTCGATCACTAAATTTGCCTGTTTCGATCAGTACTTTTTCTGAACCAAAATCCTTGATTTGCTTCAAATATATGGAGAGTGCAACTTTGCTGATTCCATATACTTGGTCATGAACCCATTGAACATAGAGTAGCTGATTGAGCCACTGACATGCATGTAAATCCAACTGGCAGGAAGCAGTGTGTTGATAAAATGGGTTTATATCAGCTGTTATTTAGCATGTGGGAGCCTCTGAGTGGAAAACAGGCGTATCAGATTTGCTGCATCTTTCATGAACAGTTGACCATAGCTTAAAAGCGTATCACTATGCTTCTGAAAGCGAAACATTCTTGGTGTGCCCTCTTTGGTATGAAATGGTACAGCCTTACAGCCTAAGAAAAAATTGCTTTGTGCACCGCTTGAAGTACTTTAGTATGCATTTATCTTTTATTACTGCTTCTCTTGTAGAATTCTAAAACTGTCCAACTCTTTCATTTGCCTGCCTTAGGCATAGCTTCTAGGCTTAGTAAGGTAATAGCTAGCAGGCACATTTGTTTTCTAAGATCAGCAGACATATTTTCTTGATAACTTTGCATATGAGCCATCCGTACACCTGTGTGGATTGCGTCAAGGATACTCAAGTTGATAGCCTTTATCTTTCGAAAAGCATATACTTTTCAAAAGGGTAATGATGATGCACACAGCACACTAGATAAAGTGCTTCGTGTTCATCTATTCTGTTCTGCGCCCTTTGCACAGTGTATTTTGTGTTGTATGCCAACTTGTGTTAAATTGATCAATGATCGCCCCCGCCGCCCCGATGCAGCCCCAGATCCTCCGCCGCGGCGAGCCCATCCCGCAGATCCACCCCATCCCGGTCACCCCCAACAGCTCCGGCGTGCCTCCGTACAGCGACGAATCTGAGAGCAGGCCCGCTTCGGGAGATCGAAGCGCACCTCCAGTTGAGACCCCACCGCCGCCGCCACCGATCCACACACGCCACCGGTCTTTGATGACGACCTGCTTGATCCCAGCCACGCCGGATTATGGCATCCTGCAGCCCTCCTACGGACATCGTCAGCGGCACAACTCTGATTATGAAGGCGCACCTACACCGTCAACCAACGGCTCGCACCCTACAGATCCGCCATTACTACGCCGAGGATGCACTTACTACGGGCGTGCCTTGACGACGAGAAACCGTCTCGTCGGCTCGCGACGACGCGCGCTCCCGAGGCCGCCATGACGACCGTCACCTCGCCAGCGGCAGCCTGCACCGCAACCTACTTCCCCTACAACGCGCTTCTTCAATTCGGTGAAGCGAGTGGTTCGAGGCCGGTGAAGCACCGGGTGGCGCAAGCCGCAACAAGGGTCAACTCATGAAGCCACCGCAACGCCCACGGCCGTCAAATCGTGCATCGCATCCTCTTCGTGGCCCACCGCGCTACCGAGGCTGCAATTACATCGCTGCGCTCGCGCTTTACCTCAAAACCGAAGGGAAGTGCTTCAAGTGCCTCTCCTCGACCACCGTGCGCATCCCGCCGAGACCCCATCCGCTGCTTCCGTTGTCTTGGGCTTGGCCATAGAGAGAGAGATTGCAGGCGATTTGGCACCCAACGCTCGAAAGCAGCGCAAGGCGCGCTACCAAGGAGGACCTACCCCCGCCTCCATCGCCGCCGCGCGTGGGACAAGCTGCTATGGCGAGACTCGGAGACCCAGAGACGAGGCCTGATGAGGACGAATGCCTCATCCCAACCTCATTTGCCACTGAGGCAAGCCGGCGAGAGTGGGAGGAAACTGCTGCTGTCTCCTGGGCCATGTCCGGGCCACCCAACACCGGTCCCAGGGAGGTGGAGGCGGCCATCCGTGACGAGTTCCGCCTCCGGCAAGGCGAGGTGGTCGTCACCGAGCATCACCTCAGCGTTCTCATCAAGTTCCATCATCGTCATCATTGCGGCGGGGCCTGCAGGCGGGGCTTCGCCAAGCGCCACGGCATCGACATTCACTTCGTCAAGTGGGCGCAGCCTCGCCAACCGCCTAGGTGTGTCACTCCTCTTCCATGTCAAGCTCTGCCTCGATGGTGTGCCCAGACATGCCTGGGATGATGGCGTCGTTGAGCGCATCATTGGGAGACGCTGTGCACTGGAGTCCATCGACACCGACCTGCTCCACCCAGCTGAGACAAAAACCATTGATCTCTCGGGCACGGACAAATGAACCCGAGCCTAATCCCCAAGAAAATTTGGCTCACCTTCACCAACCGCGCCAAAAGATGCCAAGCTTGATCCAATCTGGTGGCCCGAGACGCCACGAGAACACCGGCAACAAGGCACCGTGCATCTTGTCATCATCCACCGGAAGAAATCCACGACTACACCGCCTCCACCATCGGCGACAAAGGCAACATCTCCCTAGGTAAAAGACGTCTCCCTAAATGGCACCTGGGTGTTGTTGACGGAGCGTAGGTTCCTGCTCGTGCTTTTGAGGAGTTCCCACACCACCCACCACCACCTAGGCGCACCGACAAGGAGGAGCCGCGCACCAGGTGGCCTGATAGCAGGTCCTCTAAGGGGACAAAGGGGCGCTACAACAACGACCACCCTGACTTCTACAAGGGCCGTGGCAAGCGCCACGACGACGACGACGACTACGACACTTATGGCCGGGGTGGCCGAGATGACCCTGGCAGGTATGGCCGGGGTGATCATAGCGGTGCTGGTGGCTACCGTGAACGCGACCGCTCCCCTCCACGTCGCCTCTGGGCACATGGCAGCAGGCATGGAGGTCGACAAAGGGCTCCCGATGCCCTTGAGCATGCTGTGGTGCAACCAACTGAGCTCCTGTTGCCGGCTAAGCTTCCTCAAGTAAGTGTCTTGCAGGTGACTGAAGAGGCTGAGCTGCAGCGCCTCTTCAAAGCCCACGCCATGGCCCTCCAAGGTGCTATGCAGCGCATCATGGACCGGGCGGGCGTCCAGCACACCGGAGAGATGGCCTCCTCGCTGAAGTCTCTCATGCAAGACTACATCGACAAAGCTTCGGCGCTAGCTGAGGGGCTTGGGCTGCTTCAAGGCCCCCCAGAAGTTGCTAGGCTGGACCTGCACGAGGCAGGGAATGAAGCCCGGTCCAAGCGCCCCCCCCCAGCCAGCTCCGACAGGCCGAGCTCTTCACGCCACGGTCCCAGTGCGTGACATCTTCGACCGCATCCTCAACACGCTCCCACCGAATGCAGCAGTGGAAGACAACTCCATTGCTGCGGTCGAGAAAGCATTGGCCCGCATCGAGCTCGCTGCAGTGGAGAGCCCCACAATTTAGGGTGACGATGGTGTAGCGACACTCTTCAGCAAGCTGATGGCGCCACTACTCCAACAACCACAGCACGTAGCTGCTACTATGCCAACACCGGCCTCTGGCGGGGCTAGGCGCCGCAGACGCCAGCGTGCCTTCGACATGTCTGCGGTACGGCGAAGTGCTCGCCTGGCCAATGCTCGCCCCATGTCCCAGATGCAGCGTGCTCAGAGAAACCTTTGCCAAAAACTTGGTCTCCTGCATGATGATCTTGAACCTGTGGAAACCGCTTTGCAGGACTACATCGCCATGTTCAATGGCCCGCTGCCGATGGACATCATTGCCGCGCTGACGGAGATGTTCAACCTGGGCACCGAAGAGCCAAATGAAGTTGATGATGCGCTGCTTCGCATGGTGGGCGAGGGAGTCGAAGAACTCCGCGACGCAGCCATCCTGACTGCAGCAGCCTGACGGTCATTGCAGACTGCACAACTTGCGTCCTAACGCTTAATATGTATCAAGCTACATTGTATCAGAATTTGTACCAGTACTTCGCACATTCCACCGTCGTCGTTCTGCTCACGGCAGAGATTCTGACACACTTGTCGGGCCACCATGATTTGTGTACGCCAAGACTATTTTTAGTATGCTTCAACTTTGCTTCTCAACCACGGGTGATGCGTCCAGAGTTGTTTTATTGCTCTGAATGCACTCGGAGATGTAGATCGGTCTTGGCGATCCTTCTCCAATCCTACGAATGTTCCTGCGCAGCGCCATCATGCACCAATTTGAGGATTTCGCCACCTCTCCATGAGTGCACACAACATTGATCTCTTGTCCCGGAATGTTCGAGGCCCTAAATCAAAGAAGCTCGAAGAGACACCGTCCACCAATTAATAGCAGCGACGTCATGCAACATTGCATGCCTACAAGAAACCAAGCTATCCCAAATCTGTCAATATGATGCTTCGTACCTTGGTGGCCATCGCCTGAGTCAGTTTGCTTACAAGCCGGCATCAGGGCCTTCTCAAACGCGTGGGGGCATCATCATACTATGGAACGAATGTCGTGTAAGTCGCACCGACATCACCATCGGAGAATTCCACGTCTCGGCGAAAGTTCAAATTAAAAAAACTTCGGACGCCAAACTTCACGCTTACAGTGGTGTACGGACCATCGCATTGCAGTGCAGACAAGCTACGCTTTCTTGATGAATTAAAAGCGCTAAAGCCAGCGCCAAGCATGCGGTGGCTCATCACGGGCGATTTCAACCTCATCTATAGAGCTGCTGACAAAAACAACATGAACCTAAGCCCACGCCTAATGCGCCACTTCCGTGAGGCGCTAGATGAGTGTGATCCGTCTCAAATTAGCCTTGAGCAGGTGAAATTCACTTGGAGCAATGAGAGGCAACGACCCACAATGTCAAGACTCGACCGCTTTTTTCTCAGAACGTAGAATGGGGCGCTACCTTCAAAGAACCACATCCTCGAATGTGTTTTCAACATCGCTCTCCGACCATTGCCCTCTCGCTACTATCCAACCAATCGGGACCTAGAAGGCCAAGTTCGTTCAAGTTTGAAAATTATTGGGTCAAACTCCCAGATTTAAAGATGTAGTCGATCGCATGGGATACTACAACGGACCACCATGATCCGTTTCATGTCCTATGCCACAAACCGCATTCTACTTCATGGCCCGAAAGCATGGAGCAAGGAAATCAACTCGGACGCCAAAAAACTTTTCTTCATGGCGCAAGAGATCATCCTAAGGCTCGATATCGCCCAAGAAAATAGAAGTCTCACAATTTCTGCCGAGCTGCTTCTACTGGGCTAAGCTCAAGAAAAGAATTTTGGGGCTAGCGGTGATCAAAAGAGCTATATGTAAACAAGCATCGAGATCGTCCGTCAATCAAGTCAAGGCGATGCTAACACAAAATATTTTCACCATAAAGTAAATGCGAGGAGAAGGAAAACCACATCCAAAGATTGCGACACGGCCATGGTCAAGGCAATAAACCATGATGACAAAGCTTCACATGTCTGGACCATTTCTCAAAATTCATGGGACACCCTCCAAAGACGGCAAGAAGACGACATCAATCGGGATGAGTCAACTCGCCATCCCATGATCTTAGTGGACTAGACGCAACATTCATCAAGAGGAGATAAAACATGCTATCCACCAAATGCCGCTTGACAAAGCAATCGGGCGAGATGGATACACCGGCGCCTTCTTGAATCATGCCGGACATCGTCAAGGTTGATATCGTCAATGCGGCGAATGCCTTCCATTCACTACGGACAAAATGCCTTTGCACTCCTCAACTCACCAACGTGGTTTTGATTCCCAAAAGGATGGTGTTTGAAGCTATTACAGACTTCCAACCTATCACCTGATTCATTCCTTTGCCAAAATAATCGCCAAGGTACTTGCATTACGGCTTAGCGCCCATATGAGTTCCATTGTCTCCCCAACGCAAAGTGCTTTCATCAAAAGACGAAGCATCCATGACAACTACATGGCGTCGTCCGCAATGCAATAAGACGCTACCACAATTCTAAGTCGCCAACAATATTCCTCAAGCTCGACATCGCCAAAGCGTTTGATTCAAATGATGGGAATATCTCCTCACTCTGTTGAATAAGCTTGGATTTCCTAGTCGATGGCAAGACCGGATCATTGCACTTCTCTTCACCGCTTGACGAGGTTTCTATTGAATGGAATCCCGAACGCGCCTATCAAACATGGCGAGAGGGCTTCGTCAGATGCGATCCGTTGTCACCTCTATTGTTTGTCATAGCAATGGATCCACCGCAAAAAACTGCTTGATCTAGCAACCGAGAAAGGACATTTGTCCAGTGAGGGAAGAACAACTAAAATTAGAGCTTCAATGTATCTTTGACGACACGGCCATTTTTTGTCAAGCCAACAAGGGAAGACATCTTAGCTATGGTGAGCTCCTAACCTTGTTTGGCGAGGCTTGAGGACCGAAAACCAACTTTCAAAATCCACAATCATCCTCAGACGGTGTGAAGGATTAAATCTAAATGAAATCTTTCTTTGGCTCTCCAACGGAAATTTCATGCTTCCCAACCAAATACCTAGGCCTACCGTTAACGCGCCAGCGCCTAAGGCGTGTGGACTTCCGACCTCTGGTAGACAAAATGGTCGAAGAGCTCACTTTGCTTGGAATGGGCGCCAAATTAACCCAAAGAAGTCGCTCGACTCTGGTTAAAGCGGTCCTTACTTCATGGCAGTCTACTTCCTCACATTCCTCCGTGCACCAAAAGCGACAATCAAGGACATTGATCGGCAGAGGAAGAGGTTCCTATGGGCGGTGAGAGACGCTAACAGAGAGGAAAATGTAAGGTCAATTGGCCGAGGTCACTAGACCAAAATATTCTGGAGGCTTGGGCATCCTCCATCTAGGGAAGTTTGCAAGGGCATTAAGGTTGAGATGGCTATGGCGACAATGGTGGTGACAAGTTCGATGGTAGTCTTGGGGATGAAACCCCATGTAACACAACCGATCAGCTCCTTTTTACGGCATCCACAACTTTAACAATAGGAGACGGAAAAAGAGCATTGTTCGGTCGAGGAGTGCATGGCTAGACGGTCAAGCAGACCATGCGCGTAGCTAGCGCCGCACCTATTTGCCATCTCCGTAAGGAAAAATAGAACTCACCAATGTGCACTCCTTGATAATAATTGGATTCGTGACATCAACCTTCACATCATAATTTCTCCGCCAAAGACTTAGCTGAATACACACATCTATGGCAAGCAACTAGGCGCATAATTCTAAGAACGGGCACGCCAGATAACCTTTCACCGGAAATTTGAGGAAAATGGTGAATACACAACATCCTCTCTCGCTTACCATGCCCAGTTTATTGGTGCAACCAAAAACAACTTTGAGGCACTCATTTGGAAACCTTGGGCACCACCTAAATGCAAATTCTTGATTGGCTTGCGATTCAAAACCGAGTTTGGACCACTGATAGATTGGAAGGTCGGAGGTGGCCAAACCAAGGAACCTCGCACACTATGCTTGGCTTCATGCGAGACAGGCCTGCATCTTTTCGTGGACTGCAGATTCACGAAGCGCCTCTGGAAGGAAATTGCCACCTGGACACAAAACTCCAACCTACACCCGAGTGCATGGCCACATAGCGAGACACTTGAGAACTGGTGGACGGCGATGTCAAATGCGCCGAGTACGAGGAGGAGAAAGGCCTACGTTAAGCTCATTATACTAGTTTGCTGGGAAGTTTGGAAGGAGAGGAATTCGAGAGTTTTTGAGCGCACAGAGTCCACCAATGTTATGGTTCTTCAGAGAATCAAAGACGAGGCGAGACTGTGGATCTTGGCGGGAGCAAAGCACCTTTCTACTTTCCTTCAACTTCTCTCCTAGTTTTCAATTGTGTTTATTGTGTTTTTTGTTTTTCTAGTTGTGTACAGAGTCGAGTTGACTGAGTTGTACAGTGTCCGTCTGGACGTTCCTTCTTTTTAATATAGCGGGCAGCTCTCCTGCCGGTTCGTTTCAAAAAAAAAGAGATAGCTAACCTGTTTTGGTCCACAAATTCATTCTGAACCCATTATTATTCAGTAAAATTTGTTAGTTCCTGTAGGAGAAATAGAATTGGTAGAATTGGTCAATTGGATATTGTATTGCTGAGCCTCGTGGACAAATTATATAGGAGTACGTTAAGGGTCAAGTAGCCTTGCTTAGAGATACGGTAGGCTGGGATTACAAACAGTCCTGATATACCATTTCTAGAGATATCCCTATATACTCTAATGGTTCCTTTCAAAGAAAATAGCATCCCTTAAAGCTCTGTGAAGTTCCTGTTTTATTACTTCATAGAACCCATATACGGAGCCTTACATTCCCACTTCGCCAGACAGAACCTGCTACCCTTTTCCATTCTTGTGCTACAGCTTTTCCATTCTTAAGCTACAGCTCTTTGGTACATTGTGTTAGAATTAATTACCTCTTAGCTGTAATCTCTTAGTCCTATGCGCCACCTCCAGGCTGGCCAGGCCCTTTGGGCTTTCCCTGCTCTCCTATATATACGTGTAACTCCTCCTATAATCTGATTAAGTAATCCAAGCCTATTGCCCTTCCTCTATTATGGTATCAGACTAACTTACGATTCCTCTGCTTCCGCTATTCCCGGCGCCCGCCTCGAGCCGCGCCCGCTCCTTCACCTCTCGCTGCGCCTCGAGTCGTGCCCGCCCTGCGCGCTCGGAGCCGCCGTGACCCGTGACCCTTCCCTGCCGGCGTGCCCGAAGCTGCCCCTGTTGACGCGCTTGGTGTCGCCCCAGCCGGCAGCTCATGGCCACTTCGACCTCTCGGCGCCTCCGCCGCGGCTACCGCGATCAAGCTTCGTGATGAAGCTTTAACACCCCGGTGTTATGCAAGCATTTAGTCACTGCAAATCATGCATATTGTGCATCATCAAGCA